CCCGGGGACATCCCCCCGGGGGAGGGGCTCCCCCTCTTTTCGTTTTTGGAGGTGCGGCACCACCCCCCCACACCCCCCCCCGCACACACTGGGGGGCTGGGGAATTCTGGGAGTTGAGGTCCACTCATCTTAAAGTGGCCAAGTTTGGACAACACTATCCTACGCTCAGCTAATCCTTTCCTCCATGTGTGCCTTGAACAGGAATCAGATGTCATTAGAAAAGCTATCAATTGCTATTCACCACATAAATGAGATATTAACCCTTCTAGGCCTAGTGGAAATATTAGGGGGCTTTTTCTTTCCCAGCATCTGTACACATAGATGGACAGCAACTGTGCTAGTTAAGTTCCAATCTAAAGGATAACTAGGAGAAAAATCCAAAATGTCCTAACTGTATTTGAATCTGCAGGGTGTTAAACTTATGCAGTTATTTGCATGCCTTTACCCTAACGCATGGATTTTGATTCTTGTTCTTTTAGGTAATTTGGCCCCAGACCCACCTAAAATAACTTCCTCGGCAAGCCAGCCTGACCTTTTAGGGGGCTGGGATTCTTGGGCTGATGCCACTATCCCAACACCACCTAAGAAATCAACTGTGGAAGGTATGGTACGAGGCTGTCACTTGCACTTTTAGCCGCTAAAAGAAAATATGCAACGCTAATAGTAACATGAGATAGCACTGTGTGTCTCGACAGCGTTGTAATGCAGTGGCTTTAAAATACATCTGCGAGAAGAAACACTTGGCTGTATGGCCAGTTTGGGTTTTGTTTTTGAAAAGCAATAGCAAGGGACAGTGAGCTTGAACATTTGCAGTTGCTAATCCTCCGTTCTGATGAAATTTACAGGATGTGCTCAGGCCTAAATGGTGGTTGTGTAATAAAGAAGAATTGGCAGCAGCCTTCACCAAGAATTGCAGTGTTTTAGAACTGAAAATGAAACTTCATTATATTCAGGCGTAAGCAGGCAGGGTCAGTTGGCCACCCTGGCTCCAGAGCCAGAGTTCTGGCCCATACCTTATGTCCTGCCAAGTTCGTTTTCTGGCACCCTTCATTATCGTGGTCACAATAGAAGATGATAGGGTTTTGTTTTGTTTTACTGTTTCAAGCATACAGGAAAATCAAAGATGAAGCACAACGTCTTGTTTTGGTCATTAAAGGAAATTAGAATGAAATTAATCAAACCGAGTAGTAACATGCATAGTCAGTAAAAAAAACTTGGGTTTATACAGCTTCCTTACCTGCATCCTAAACTGAGCAATTGCCCTTGTCAAACATTTCGGTTAATCTCTTGATGCAAGGAAGCAAATTAATCCAGTGTGCCAACTGGATTTGTTCAATGTCAGTCAAAGTTGCCTGAGCAAGGTTCCCTCTGAGCTGAGATGCTTGGCTTTGACTTACATTTTTCTTCTATATTATAAAAACATGGTTGATTTTCATTAATTATATTAGCTACCAAAATTGCTTCCAACGGTCTAAAAAATGTTAAGAGTGGCTTTCTTCTAGATACTACCTGGGGATTTGGGGAATTGTAGTCCTTTCATGGAGAGGAGTCTTAATAACAATTCTGGTCTTGTTGTTCTTATCCAGAGAACTGGGACACACAGAAATAAATGCACATTCACTTTCTAAATTTAAAGCTACACACACACACACGCACCCCTATATACCAACTCAGAAGTCTAGCTGACCTGGCTACATTTAAGTTCTGTAAGAATGAAAATGGGACAGTTATTGTTCATGGCACCCAAGTGATTTTTTTGAAGGACAGCAGTTTCCACACACTTATCTAACTTCCAACAAGATTTGGCCAATACCAGCTTGGTACTTTTCTCATCTGCTTACAAATGGGAGCTTTCAGTTGCTTGGAAAACTGGGTCTTCTTTTCACTATCTTGTTCTTTGTAGAAACATTCATTCTGATGCTTTTCGATATGCTACCATCTACCAGAACGATCCTTCTGCTTTTATGACTTGCTTTGAGTGGGTTTCATGCACTCTTATGTTTATACATGCCACTTTGTACATTCCCACAAAGTCGTAGCACAAGTTCTCTTTCTCTCTCTGCGTGTGTATTTGTATAGTAAGCAGCCACAAATATACCGTATCTGATTGATTGATTTATATATCAAATTTGTCACCGCCCATCTCGTTAAAAACGTGACTCTGGGCAGTTTACAGAGAAGATAAAATTAATTAAAAATACAAAATAACAGTAGTACTGAATAAATAATAAATATATTCTGCATAATAACATGGGTTACAATATGGCGACAATCCAACATACTTGCAGGCTGGGGAAGGCTATAGAAAAGCCAGTGAATGCTGGCTGTGGTTGGAAAAGATACCAAACAGGCCCCAAAATGAATAGTTGCTGTTAAAAATATTCCAAGTGTTTCATTTACTACTATGCAGATGCAACTTTCACAACAAGAGGGCCACCAAGCGTCTCCTCGGGCCACTCTTCCAATCAAGCAAAATCACAGAATTTTGACCCTTTTGCTGATCTTGCAAACTTGAGAAGTGGCCTTCCAGGTAAGTGTTGGTGTAACTAATGAAAGATCACAGTCATTACTCATCACTCACTTTTGTTTTAGGGGTGGTTTTCCATTTGACTTACAGGGAGCTCAGCTTCCTGCTGCTACTGTTATAGCCTTCTCTTAGATTCTGTTCCAGAGGAGTTTTCCCGGCCCTGTGAAAGAATTCAGTTCTGAGTGCTGGCTGTTGTTTCTGATCCTTTGCTACCCCTTTGAGGCCCCTCTTGCCCTTTAATTTCAAAAATGGAGAGTTGAGTCTCTCCACCTTTTGAATTGGAATCTGTGGCAAATGTCCGGACAGGGTCAATCTGACAGATTGGTGGGACAGACTGAAATTGAGTGGCCTCAGGTTAGAAGGCAGAGCAGCCTGACCTCTCAACATGGCTGCTTGACAGGTGAACAGGATATTTGACAAGTAATTGGATGGAAGCCCTCTGGAGCCCCCTGTGAAACTATGTGGGCTGGCTTACATGAGGAGCATTGTAGCATCGATTCTGTGTGGCACGTGGGTAATAATCTGCAGGTTGGAAATACTTCCCAGTGAGGTTCCCATTCTCTCTTCCATGCTCCTTGTTCACATTTCAAGAAGGATTTGGAACAAGTCCAGTGGATCTCAAGGAGGTACAAAAGGAGTTGCTTCTCCAATTAACTGTGACAGCCAGAAGAATTGGGGCTGGATTATTAGATGAACAATTCTTGCACAGGAAGCTTTTTTGCACCATTTAATTTAATCTTTACTTACTTACTTACTTATTACATTTGTATACTGCCAACTCAGCACAGGACTCCTGGTGGTTTTGTTATTAGACTGTTATATAGTTTTCTCTTCGTGCAACCATGCATTTTTTCTTTTGGAAAAAAGTAATAAAAATATAATACTAGTATGAGGATTAGTATTCAGTGAGGGCAGGTGGCTGGCATCTTTCAGGTGTTTTGAACAGCAGCTCTTGCATTCCCTTGCCATTGGCCGTGCTGGCTGAGGCTGATGGAAGTAGTAGTCCAAAACATTGGAAGGGCACCCCATTGCCTATCCCTACTCTTAAATATACTAAGTATTTAAATATGTGGATGTGCTACCCTCCCTTACAAAAATCTGCTGCCAACAATAAGTCATCCTTCATTTTAAAAAATGTATAACCTTTCTTTGTTCTTTTGTACCCCAGGCAGCTTGTATGTTCCCAAACATGGCCATGCATTTTGGGGTTTTGCCATGATTTCATTCAATTGCTTTGGGGGGTGAGGGTTGTACTCACAAACAGGCATGATGGCAACAGCATCTCCCAGTTTGAGTTCCTCCAGCATCTGGCCCTCTTTTTGTCCTCTTCTTTGAATATGGAGGTTCCATTTAACAGCCTTGGTTAGTAGTCCCTTCCCTTCCCTTCCCTTCCCTTCCCTTCCCTTCCCTTCCCTTCCCTTCCCTTCCCTTCCCTTCCCTTCCCTTCCC